CAGGCAACAAGAATGTCGTCACCAGAGAACAGCTTGACCGAATGAAGAATGGCTGCATCGTCTGCAATATGGGACACTCCAATACTGAGATCGATGTGGTAAACTTCAAACAAATAACCCCACAAATACCCAATGGATTTAAAAAGCTTCTTAAGCATGGTTACTTAGAATAAACAGTAGGGGAGCTTAAATAAGTGAAAGTGAAAGGTTAACATGTGTGAAAATTCAGGCACTAAATGACAAGTAAAACACAGAAAGGAGCCTGTAAACAAAAAAACATCCTGTTCTCTGTGTTGTTAAATTTTCAGTCAAAAATGAAATTTGAAAATGATCAAAAGTGACTTAATTTGTTTTTCCTCATTGAATCTCCTGTGGCTTTAATATCTCAATTTAAACATCCATAAGTAACATCTCTGTGTGCCCCTTTGATCCAAAACATACAGTAAAGATTGCAAGTTTTTGGACTATGACACAGTTTTTGTAGTTTTGCCTCTGTTCACTATCGATGCAGGAAATGTATAAAAACTATTTTTATACACACTTCAACATTTTCAGAGGCTCAAAAGTAATCTGACACACTGAAAAAATGTAAATATAATGATTTTTTAAATACTTGGATTAAAATCCTTTGGAGTCAATGACAGCCTGAAGTGAACACATTAACATCACCAAATGTGTGTGTTTCTTATTTGACATGCTCTGCTAGGCCTCATTCAAGTTGCTGCTTGTTTGTGGGTCTCTCTTAGGTTTTGTATTCAGTAACTGAACACAAAACTGGCTCTGCTGGTGAGTGACTTGGCCATTGAAGAATTTCCCATTTCTTTAAATTGAGAAACTCTTTGGTAGTTTTTGCAGCATTCTTTGGGACATCAAAGAATTTGCTCAATCAGTTTTGCAACATTTGGTTGAATCTGAGCAGAAAGTATATCCCTATATACAATTAATCCTGCGACTTCTATCAATCACAACAACAACAACAAACATTAGTGACCCAGTTCCACTGGCAGGCAGCCATGCATACCCATCCCATAACCCTGTTGCCACCATGTTCGAAGGTTAGTATGGTTTTGGAATTATGAACTTTTTCTCTCCTTCTTCAGACTTTTCTTTTCCCATCATTCTGGTACGAGTTCATCTAGGTTTCATACACCCAAAGATGTTTTTTCCAGAACTGCGCAGGCTCTTTTTAGATGTTTTCTGGTCTAATCTGGTCTTCCTCATTCTCGAGTGTCACCAGTGGTTTGCACCTGGTTGTGAACACTGTATTTACATTCATAAAGGTGTTTCTTGATTGTAGATTTTGACAATAACACAGCTACCTCCTTGAGAGTGATTTTCACTTGGTTAGTTGTTTCCTGTAATCTTTCAGGCCTTTTGCTGTCACTGAGGTGACCAGTGCATTCACTGAGACTGTTGATCTGGTGACTGCTGTAATATTTGCTCTTTCTCTGATACATTTGTTTAAGTTTTTCAGCTTTCACCTTCTGCAACGACATCGAGTCGAGAGCATGAAAAGTTAACCAATAGAAGTTCAACACTAATAAAAAGGGAACAGTCCTCACATGACCA